CCTTTAACTCTCATGCTCTCTATGACTTTACTATAATCTCTACTTATTATCGCTGTACAATTGCGCCTACCAAACCTGTGATGTTTTGTGGGGTTCCCTCTTACCCTTAACCCCACACCCCCAACAGAAGGGTTACAAGGAAGGGACAATTCAACCAGGGTGCAGTATAGCACCGAGGAAACACACATCATTCCTCTAGTTCCTGAATGTTTCCTCCCCCCACTACCATGACCTACTTCTACCTTACAAATCTGGCTAGACTGGAATACACACATCAGTCCAGATAAAAACTGTCGACACGACACATGGAACAGTAGTGGAAGTAGCGTTATCATGAGGGTAGGGGGATGGTGAGGATGGGGGTGGGGACTCACCACAAGGTTGGATATATAGCTCTCCCCCCAGCGGGACGAATAACAGAAATGTGGATGAAGGGAGACGACAGTGTAAGACGTGAAATAACAATAATATATAATTGAGCAAGCATTCATGAGGGTGGGAGGGTGGGGGAGGGAGGGGATAAAAGAGCTGATACCAAGAGCTCAAGTAGAAAGAAAATGTTTTGGAAATGTTGATGGCAACATATGTACAAGTGTGCTTAATACAATTGAACGATGAATTATAAGATTTGTAAGAGCCCCTCAATAAAATGATTAATTTAAATTAAAAAAAAAGAGGGCTTCAAGATAAATAAGCCAGAAAGTGCCGTGCAAATACCCAGAGGGATTCACGAGGAAGGAAAACTCTCTCTACGAAAGGAGAGCTCTGAAGTGGACCGCCAGGAGCAGAGCAGCAGCCTGGGTGAGACCAGAGTGATGCTGTGGGCGGGAGTATTTCCATCACTTCCTTCGTGTGCACAGCGAGAACAAACCTTCCCCGCACTCCTAATCGGCGGGATGGGAGGAGGTTTGCTGATTAGGAACTGGTGAGAAGAGAAAGGAAAACGATGGTCACTATCATCTTAAAACACCAGGCACATTCATTCAGCTCTTACTCCAAGCCACGCACTGTGGTGAGCATCTTAGATTTATTAAAGTATGACAAATAATGAGTAGGTGCTTCACTCTCCCCACCTTCCCCAGTTTATAAATGATAACTGTGTCCCAGAAGGCACTGGAAGAGATCAATAGCTAACATAAGGGCTTAGATAAAGCACCTACAAATGACTCACGAATTCCCGTTATTTCAGTCAGATAGCAGTGAATCAAAGAACTCCATTACATTGCTGACAGTGCCGTGATGGCTTCAAATGAAGGAAATTCAAAATCCAGATCCACTTATATTGGAAGAGCTGACCTGGTTACCAAGCAGGAACATGCGGAGCCCTAGCACGCAGCACGAGTCTAGACAGCAGAGCTAACATCTCCTGAACTCAGGGTTTCTGATCAACACTCCTGTCGTTGTGAGTAGCCGTCTTCAGTACTTTCCCGTACAGAGGCTGAACTCCCACTGTCAATATCCCGGTTTGGTATTTGTGTGTTTAATCTTCCTTCATCTGCTGACTAATAAATAATATTGAGCATCTTTTTAACATATTTAATGAATCCTATTCGATACCTTTTCATTTTCTTTGTTGGCTATTTGTAAATATTTTCTCCTGTTTTGTTGTTTCTTTACTTTCTTAAGAATATCCCTCGATGAAGTCTAGTCTATTTTTCCACTTATGGTGTGATATCTACAATCTCATTACCTGTGAGGTCTTGAAGAGGTCACCGCTCCATTTTCTTCTAAGAGTACTTTTAAAAATAGTGCTTCGAGTTCATCATTGTACATGGGGTATGGATTTCTCTTGTTGGTCTGGGTGCCTTCAAGTTGAACCCCAACTAATGGTGATTTTACAGAAAATAGAACAAAACACTGCCAGGCCTGTGCATCCCCCTGATCGGTTGCAAGTGAGGCGATTATGACCCCAGGTGATCTGTGAACAGAGGGTCAGGTCTGCATTTCTTCCTAGTCTGTATCTGTCAGGAAGTGCCACGGAATCCTCTTCAGCACAGCGTCGTTCTTTCGCAGGGAGGAACCTGGTTATTCCAGAACAGCCTATTGCACAAAAGTTTCTCTCACCACTAAATAGATTTGGTATCCTCATCAAAAACCAATAGGCTATAGATGTATGGGTTTAGTTCCAGATTTTAAATTCTATCCCATTGGTCTATGTGTTGATCCTTAGACCAGTATCATTCTGCTTTCATTACGAAAGCATTCCACTCCCCACCCCCCAACTATTATGGGGTCATTAGGGAAGTTACCAGGTTACCATTCCGGTTCAGACATGTTCAGAATACAGTTCTTCCAGTCAGGACAGCTTCTTTTCAGCCATGTCCTCAGGAAGCCCTCTCTCTGCTCCTTAGCCTCTTAGTCGCATGGCCTCAAGGGCCCGGCCGGCCTCTGTGGACTTGAAAGTCCATTGCTTTGTCTCCTATTCTGGCTCTTGGATCTGCTGCTGTGCATTCTCGGTCATTCAGTAGCCACTATTCTGGTGACACAGTGCTCTGTCTCCTTTTCCAGCTGATGGTGACTGCCAGAAATCCTCCATGGTCCGTAGTTTGTATCTGCATCACTCCAATCCTGACCCAGACTTCCTCAGACTGGTCCAAGCATTTTAAAATCAGGAAATGTGAGTCCTGCCACTTGGCTCCTTTGAAGAATTTTTTTTCTCAAGTTGGTTTGGTTGTTCAGGGCCCTTACAATGAAAGAATCCATTATCCAAAAGAGTTCTATTCTGTCTATGTACAAGATAATCAGGTCCAGGAAGGGGGGACATTTTCTAACTGGCATGCAAATATGTGTCTCAACTACCAATTCGATCCCATCAAACAAAAATAACAAGAAAACCTCATAACAAACAAATCTACACCTTCAAAGTACCAGAAAATGATAATGTCATTTTAGAATAAACAGTAATTTTAGCAAGACAAAATAGTGTTACACAAATAGGAGCATCTCCAGAAGAAATCTTTGGGGTTCTGAAAACCAGACTTATCTGTCTTACCTAATGAAAACCAGCTTCACCTTTGTTGGGGCGGTCTTGATAATGGCGGATGCATTTTGGTGACTTCTTCCAAAGAGAATCTGGTTGTTTATCTGTTTGGGGAAAGAAAACAAAAGAAAAGGCACTTGTGAAAACATACTCTGCACAAGGTACAGTAAATGGTGGCTCTTGCCTGGAGCCAGAGTCAGAACAGGAGGAGGAAATGGACACGAGGCTAATTGTCTCCATGAACAACTGCCTCATCGCCAAGTGCAGGACAACGGAAGAACCAGGTAATGCCCGACGACTGTGACTGCGCATGGTGAGCAACAATTCTATACAGGAGTCCTGATCAAAAGGGGGGAAATGCACGCGGATTTTAAATTGTTACAGAATCCATTAAGTTTTAAACAGGTTCATATAGGACTCCAACGTTATAACAACACAACACAACACAACTTTAAAAACCTTACCATTCTTAATAGTCAAGATTAAAACACTGTCTCATTTTAAGTAGCTATTAAAGATCCCTTAAATTCAGTTTTTACTATCTTAATAAACACCTTGCAGTCCTTGTCCCTTTGGCTAAATTTCAAGAGAGTAATTGAGCTAAAACGAAAATTTTATGATACTGTATTTCCTGTAGTTTTTCGAGATTCCAAAATTATGAAGCACGAAGACCAAACTTGAATTCACCGGAGTTCTGGAGGGCTCATTACACACGATTCAGTAAATAAGTCAAGGTCATTACACAGCATAAAATTTGTTACTCCCAAGGAGGTACATGTTACATTCATGTTTTGTCAAATTTTAGATCAGTTGCACATTTTATTCTACACAATCAATGAGCCATCTGCTCATACTCCAGATGCAGTGGGATTTTTAGCTTGATGGGATTCCCCTAAATATGATCTAAAAACATTTACATTCTGAATTTTTCATTCCAGATTTGATGATGGCCATCATTGATCTTTCTTCCATTGGAAAACAGCCAGCACAGTTTTGGCCACCCTAGGCCCCAATCTCTTTAAACAGTAGTTAATGAGCTATACACCTTGCTCTAAGGGACCGCTATATAAATGAGACCTCAATAAATCCTGCTATTTAAAGGACAAGCCTGTTGTAAAGAGCATGTGATTAATGTGTCATTTGATGCCTCGCAAATTATGCATTTGCAGATACACCTGACATGTCTTTGAAAGCTCACCTGAAAAAGAGATCATGTTCTGTCACAACAGTTATTATGAGAAAAAGTATAGAAGGGAACACTTTGGTAGATGGAATGAAAATATAGTCTCGTTAGCTGTCTAAGCTGAATCTCACCCATCACCTGTCTGAAGTGGTGAAGGTGGGCTTCACATCCAAGACTGCTACATAGGTAACCACGAGCTACCCCCTTGCTATCTCCCATTCTATCAGCCAGGGACACAGAAATCCACCCATGTTTCCTCCTTTCTGAAGAGGATTGAAACTGTATGACAGGTGAAAGAAACTGTGGTTTATCATTTCATCAACAAAGATTTTAATCGCCAAGCCAGCTGTTATTGAGCGGTTTCCAACTCACAGTGAACCAGGAAGCCAGAGTGGAACTGCCCCCTAGGGCTGTGAGGCTGGGCGCCATTAGGGGGCCGACGAACACCTCTTCCTCTGCTCTCTTGTGGAGCTTCCCGGGGGTCAGACCAGCACCTGTTTGGTTAGCAGCCCACGCTTCACCCGCCACACCACCAGGGCTGCACCACAGTTTTAATGTTCACGCATTTACAAGGGCTCACCTTTCCTGTTATGGTTTCTGCCTTTACTGTATCATATATTTCAGAAAGGCACCCACCCCCATGGATTATTGTACAATGATCCATGCATATTTTCCTGGTTTCAAGTTTCTTTTATCCATCGCTTCTTACATAACTCACTTATAAGGGTGGTGGTTAAATAAATCATGCAGCCACTAATATTAATGTGGAAAAGCATACTTAGTGCCACAGAAAGTGATCAAAAGGCATTAAGTGGCAAACTCAGGTTATAAAACAGTATGTCCGGCATGATGAGCTACACATAAATGGGGTGATGCATGGTTGTGCCTGACTCGATGTCTGGTGTTCAGGTAGTTATTTGGGATTCCCACCACACCCTCTACCCCCGTATGCCTTTCCTAGGTCCCTGGTTGACTGGGGCTGCTAACCATGAGGTCACCAGTTCAAAACCACTAGGCACTTTTCAGGAGAAAGTTGAGGCTTTTCTATTCCCGTAAATCTTGGAAATCCACAGAGCAGTTCTGTGCTGTCCTATAGGGTCACTATGAGTCAGAATGGATTCAATGGCAGGTTTTTTACCCTTCTTTTCTTTGGTTTGATGTCTTTCCTAAAACATGATCCATCTGACCCTCCAGACTAAAGTATGTCCATGATTCTATCAGCGTTTGTCTTCACCAAGAGAATCAATCCTGCGGGTTCTATTGAAGGTCCAACTTTCTTCTTCTCTAGAAGGACCCCAAACACCTAGATCAAAAACTGATTAGGAAAATTACTTGAGAGCAAGCTTATGCCAGTAGGTTAAAAAAAAATCTGTCTATGGCACTTGTGCCCCACCTAACCTGGCACGTTAGGCAGATATATCTGTGGGGGCACATTGCAAACATTTATTGACTTGAGCTACATCCACTGGCTTCGTGAAGGCAGGCACTGGCTCTGTCTTCTTGGCATTCCCTGGCTGTTTGTGCGTAGATTGCACACAGTGGTGCTCCCTCAGCATGCGCTCAGTTGTACAGTTTCCAGTGTACGTGACCCTGAGGTCTTCTGAAGTGAGCCCCAGCCTCCATAATACCTGAGATGAAAGCTTCCCTCGCCCCGACTCCCAATCTCCTCAGCAGCAAAACCTTGAGCATATAGAAAATCAAATCAGCCTGTTTCATGATAATGGATCTGCGTGTTTCTAATCCTTGAGCCTGTGTTTTGACAGACCAGAATATATTGGGGCTGTTATTCTAAGAGAGCGAAATTCATTCCCAAGTGAAGAAAGTGGGCATTTCCTTTTCATTTCCCCATGAGTAAACCTAACGTCTGCTCTGCGTGTTGCTGTTCCTGCCGAGTCAGAGGCCCTGGCCATAGGAGGGGGAGCAGCTCGCTTGGTGTGAATGTTTTCTTGCGGTGCCAGCAACTGTGGCGTTTACAGCTACAGCAGTTGCTCCCTGCAAGTGTTCAGTGGCCTCCGGAGAAAGTCGGCTATGTAGTGAAAAACTGGGAGCCAGGCAAACTCAAAGTAGAGTGAAACCCAATTTCACTGGATTAAACCCAACAGGGAGATGAAGATCTCTAAGTACACAAAGACAAAACCTCTCATCTAGACGTAAGAATAACACATTAACAGCCTCGCCGTTTCAGGAGAAGCAGCACTCTTTCGTGTTTCCTTATCGTTTCCTGTGATATAGAAATAATTTCACTATTTAAATGAAAGGCAGGGTACTTTCAACTGTGTAACCAGATTTTACACGTCCTCATCTCTAAAGGAAACACTGTTTCCATCCAGTCAATGCTGACTCATAACAACTCCACAGGGCCATGGCAGGACTGCCCCCGTGGGCTGCCAAAGGCCAATCTTACAGAAGGAGAAAGCGGAGCAGCTGCTGGTTTTGAACTGTTGACCTAATGGTTAGCAGCCACAAGCAGCCCCTATGCCACCAGGGCTTCTTAGAGGAGTAACTGATAGTAAAGGAAACATGCTCCAGAGGAATTTCAGTAAGTACTTAGAAAGAACATGATGCACAGAAAGCATAAGTCACTTTAGACCAGGGGTCCTCAAACGTTTAAACAGGGGGCCAGTTCACTGATCCCTCAGACCCGTTGGAAGACCGGAGTATAGTTTGAAAAAAACTATGAACAAATTCCTATGCACACTGCACATATCTTATTTTAAAGTAAAAAACAAATGGGGCAAAAACACCCGGCGGGCCAGATAAATGTCCTCGGCGGGCCGCATGTGGCCCACGGGCCGTAGTTTGAGGACCCCTGCTCTACACTGTCAATTATTCTTTTACTGAGAAGCTGTGGAGGGCCTCTAGGCCTCCAAAAAGATATCGAAGGTTCTCCAAGTGCCCCAAACCCTAACCAACGACCATCGAGCAGACTCCCACTCACAGCGATCCTATAGGACAGAGCGGAACTGCCCGCCCCTTTGCGTTTCTGAGACTTCCAATGTTTGCAGGAGCAGAAAGCCTCATCTTTCTCCAGTGGAGTGATCTGGTGGATTCCAACCACCAGATTCCAACCTCGCAGTCAGCACCTCAGGGCGTAGCCCATGACACCACCAGGGCTACCACGTAGCTGAGTATTCACTCTGAACAGGAGAATATACTAAGTCTTTTTTGAACAATATTTCATCAAAATCTCAGAAGAGGATATGTTATTATTCTATTCAACAGTTTGAACGTGAAGTGGCTGGGGGATTTGAAACCCTATCCTTTTGATGAGCAGTCACATGCTTAACTACTGTGCCATCAGGAACCCTAGTTCAACAGATTAGGAAATGGAAAGCGAGAGAGGTTGGGTAATTTGCCCAAGGTGACTGAGCTAGCAGACAAAAGCTTGTGGTTCTACAGCACATGTGGAGTTCACATCCTACGTAGGGTGCTCAATCAGAGGACTTCCAAAGACCATCTTCGTAAACATGTTCATTAAATAAATTCCATATCGGAAGGAAAGAATGCTAGCCACTTACCAATTTTAGGTCCTGGGCTTTTGAGAAAAAAGAGGACAGACTCAAACAACTGAAGAGAGAGAGAATCACCAATACTTTACAGCTAATCTTTTAAAAATTGCAAAAGAGCAAATAACACAACAGAGCTCAGCAATTGATCTACTTGGTATCACTGAATGGCACACGTGAAAGATGCTGAACGGGGTGGTAGCGGGGTGATTTATGTCAACTTGAATATGTATGAAAGAGTAGGGGCGGAATCCAACCTGTCCACTTGATGCCTTCCTTGGGAGTGTGGCTTTCTTATAAGGAAGAAACGGGGAACCTTCTCTCTCTGCCACTTTGTCTTCCTGCTGCTGGGACTCTATCTCCAGGGCAGCTCCACATGGGCCACCAAACTAACTCTAGGAGCTGTTGGCACCCG